ATCCTGAATTTTTTTATAGAATGAAATGCGACCCATCACATCGAAACGAGGATTAAGTCCAAAAGTGGTGTATGGAGAAATAGGCAATTCAATTCAATTCAATTCAAATATACTTTATTGATCCCAGAGGGAAATTAGGTAAATATAAAATATAGTGTTTTGACTAAAATGTTAACAAAAATTGCATTTTGTCAAAATATAATGAATAAAAGTCTTATCAATATATCAGTTGAATGAATTGTCTGAAATATAATCATAAAACAAAATTTTGAAGCACTATTTTGAACAGTAGCAACAAAAAAAACAGATATTGAGGAAAAACGACAAATTTTTGAGATTTTCCCTGTGAGCTAGTAAAGTGTTGTTTTTTTTTTAGCTGGGAAATCTCAATATTCAAATATAATTTGAGGTTTCCTCTTTAAAAAAGACATCAAAAATTCCTAATTAAAATGACATCAAATTAGGATTCAGACCAAATATTTTTGTATTATTGTGACCAACAAGACAAATTTAGTCATATACATGGATTTAATTATGATATCAGAATGATCCAGGTATCAAAATGTAGCTTTTAAAGCCAAGAATCTGAAAATGTAATTAGGTCATTTTGACCAAATTTGACTTAATCCTCATTTTGATATGATGGGTCACAAATATGCAACCTCATCACACTGAGTCATCTTATCCTGCATGTCCTTTCTGCGAGATGTGTGCAAGTATGTGTGATCCTGTTGAGAAGGGTCCTCCCACTGGGTGTGGACTGAGTTCAGATGTGGTGCAGAGGGTGGTGTGAAGATGTGGCATCAGGATGTGTAGTGAAGACGCATGCATCAGGAGGTGGTGTGGAGATGCTGGCCTTGTCTGTGACAACTGGAGATGAATCCACAGCGCAGTCTGGAAAACATCAACAACATTAAAATGTACATTCTTTGCATAGTAGAAACAGTAAAGTGTCACTTATTTTTGTAATTTTTGTTCAACATTGTGAGGAAAAGTTTCTCATTCAACACTTTCACGTCACATGCCCTTGTGACACGACTTTGAATAAGGGAGACATAATTAAAGTATGAATAATTTTGATTTACTGAAATCAAGTTGGCATACTGAAAGTGACTAATGTGGTAAGACTTACTTAGGGTTTCAGGAGTTCTGATAGGCTTTGCTGTGCCTTCTCCCTTCTTGAACTTGGGAAAGAATAATCTACATGGGCTCTCCAGATGAGGTAGTWMCCTGCAGATGTGCATTTTCATTGAAATGCATTGCAGCCAGGTACAGTCTGGTTAAAATAGCATAAAAGAATTTTACATGTTAGTTTGAAGTTGCACCATTATAACCCATCTAACATAACAAAAAAAAACATAAATACAGAGTGACTAAAACAACACTGCAGCCGATATTTTTTGGCCTGTTCTTGAAGCCGTTACTATTTTTTCTTCCTCCCTCCATTAACATGGTAAAAATAAGAATGATAACAAATGTTACACAAGTCTTAATTTAAAACAAA